GAACTTCTCTGTTGTTGAAACTACGTTTCTTGGTAGTTGTGGCGTTGAGGTATTAAGATTAAATTTTGATTTCAGAAAATTTACCAATACACTTCGAAAAACATGTCAAAGTTTCAAAACATAAAAAAAATAAAGCTTTTATGAAGTGTTGTTTTTGTTTTATAATTATAATAGTTTGTCAATCGTGTCGTCAGTAGTTTCGTCAATAGTTTCGTCAATCGTCTGTAGTTTCGTCAATCGTCAAAGTATTGTCAGACGAAACCATGACAAAACTATTTCGTACTTCGTGAAAATAGTTTCGTCGCTCATCTTTAGAGTATACCAGAATTCGAGTCTTAATAAGCCGAATCGAAGTTACAAGCCAATTCAGTCCATCGAATTGAGTCTCGAAAGGGTTTATTAAAGTTACAAGTCGGATTCAAAGACAAAGTCTCAAAGGAAAATTCAGATAAGTATATACCTTATTATTTAGTGGTAATTGAAAGTGGACAAGGAACTGTCCTTTCGTTTATTGAATTCATGGTACTTATATACATTTTAATTTTTATGAACGTAGACACAGAAATTTTAACGTTTACACCAAAAATCTAACGTTTACTGAAAATTTGGGTGTATATACACCATAAAATTAAGGGTAACGTGTACACCGAAAAGTCTTAAGGCGCAGCCTTTGTGTAATCACGTATACGCGAATTTTTCGGTGTTTACGTGATTCATTTGATTCCCATGCAGCAGCTAAGCCACTAAGCCACCTTCAATTTCCATAATAGAGTGAACGATTAAATATTTAGAGAAATAGAATAAAGTCGATTGCTTCTATGAAACTTAAATTATACTAAAATCATATACATATTTAGAAGAAAAATAGGAAAAATTTTATTCTATTAGGTTATATTATCGACTAACTAATAATTCTATCCATGAAGTACGTACGTAAAGTCAACGTCAAAGTAGTTCGAGCCGATTTAACCAAATCAGGTAAAAAGCCACCATAGCTGACAGATATTGCAGCTATGGCAGATAAGGCAGATATGGCAGCTATGGTAGTTATGGCAGTTATGGCAATAATGGCACATAGGGTAGAAATGGTAAAAGTGTTAGTAAACGTTATATAACAAACACATGTATATAAAGACTTGATATTTCGTCCAAAATAAAGTAGTCCAGCTTAAACTCACCCTTGAGTTCAACATGAATGAATAGTAATAGTAGCGCCTTTGAGTCTCCTTTGGTTGTAACGTTGTTATCGTATTTCGTATATCATATTACCTTGTCCCCGTGATCACTGCAGTATCGTAAAACATCCTATTCTCGGACCAAATCAATCCACCCCTCAAACGATGCCTTCCAAGTAGGGTGTATAGAAAGATTTTATTAGATTTAGTTAAGATTTTGTCTAGTAACGACCCTTGTTAGTCTAGTTTTTGGTGTTATACCTTTTTCACTCTCTAAATGCATGGCCTCAACTGAATGTTTTTTTGGGCAAATCCAAAAGGGAATTTATAATAATTAATAAACAAGTGCACCGTTATAATTTTCTTTTTTGGGTTTCTCCAGAAACATTACCGGGCCCCAACTCATATAATACATGTAGATTTTCACCCCAAATGCTATTTAGGTAGCGTTCCCACAAAAAAATTGTTCATCCCCGGTAATTTTGACCAATTAAAATTTATGATCAGATGTCAAAACAAACATTTTTGTTTTCTAAGTAAAAAAGTTACGTGTAAAATGAAAACCAAGAAAACCGTGTTATAGTTAGAGTTAGGATTAGAATAATATAGCACCTATTAGTAAAACATCACGAGGAACATTTTTAATTATGCCGCAGAAGGTAGTTTCTTAATTAAAATTTAGAGTTATTCTTGTTTTTTTTGTAAAAAAGTGGGTTGTTTCGATTTTTACGTTACACCTGATCCTGAAATTTGATCGGTCAAAATTACAGGGTGAACAATTTTTTGTGGGAGAGCTAGGAGCGTCCCTAAATGCAATACCTCACTAAATGCAAGATTTTTTGATTTTTTTATGGCTATGCATTTAGGGAGATTGACTATAAATACGCTAGTTGGAGATCACTACGAATTACTAAAATTGGGCTTCGGAATCGTTTATATAGCATAAACAAGAGTATAAAAATGTATAAAAGAATCCAAATTTTATGTTAACTACGACAGTAATGTTTAACTCAAATTATTAGCAAAGCTACTTTAAAAATTACGATTTTAGTGATTAGTATATTCATCAATTAATTCGTAAACTTGTTCGCTTTATTTCAACTTTATTTCTTTATTGTTTAAATGTTATACTTCAATTTATATAGCTTTGAGATTTGATTTTCTTCTTGCCATTATGACTTTTATTTTTTCGTCTTCCTAGGAAACTTTTTGAATGTGAACAATACTTGTGTTGGTACATTATGTTCCGTTGAAGAGGTAACACCTTGTGTAGGTTTAGATTTAACAACCTGTCAACAATGTTCATATCTTAATCTGCCGTTATCAGACAAGGGACATTTCCCTAGTTACCCTTTAAAAAATATATAACGATATTTGAATTATCATGATGAATTGTATGTCAACTATAAACCAAACTAAACTCTCGTGTATATATTTAGCTAATGTAATAGTGACTAAATATATTATTTGACAAATAGTAATTAAGTCTATAATAAATAATGGGATTTAGTAAAGTAAATTAAAAACAATAGAATAAGTATGTGTAAAAATTTCAATGCACACTGGAATTGTTCTGCGGTATTTTAATAGTTAATATACATCCCTGAAAAACTTTTAATTACTAAGTAAATTTATAATATGAATACTTCCGATGAGTGAGTATGCATAATTTAGCCAAATACTTAATTATATTTAGAAAATTTATAGAATGTAATAATAATACAAATTTTTTATAAAATAAGTTTTCTAATCAATCTATTGGATAATAATTTTTGATTTATCTTTTTCTGCCCAACTTGCCGAAACTATTTCAGTCAACGTTTCAACACCTTCTAAATTCATTAAATCTATTTTCCTAACAACCTTTTTTTTATTTAAACAACGTATTATCTCTTTGTTTTGTATAAATTCTAATCTGACCTGTTCTGCAATTCTAAGAGCAATTTCTATTCCTCTACGAGCCTCAAAAGTAACCAGACATCCACGCTTAAAAATAACTAATTTATTTACAATATTCTCCCATTTATAAGTTTTACTTCCTGTTGATTTTATAGATTCAAAATATTTTTCAACATCAGAAAAAGAATTTATGCCATATTGAGTTCCATTCCAAATCTTTTCTTCATCATCAATTGCCATAAGAATAGCTTTGAATTGATCACGAAAATCAGTTGCTTGTAATAAGAGTTTATTAAGTCTATTTGATAAAAATGTCACATTTCGTCTAGATAAAGTCATATCCAATGAAAGAGTTTCTCGAATTGAAATTATTTCATTGCCAATTCGATTGATTAAATATGATCCTATGCTAAATAATTTTTCTGCTTTTTTTCCTGTTTGATATGTGCTTTCTGCGAGATCATTTAAATACTGAACTGTCATTTTATTTTCCATTTGTGACTTACTTCCGACTTTATCGGCAACATTAGCAAGAAACAGACCTGCTGGACGTTGATCAATAATTTGTGCTGAAGCTAAAATAATGATTAAAGATTGGACAAGACACATGTAGATAAATAATGTATAAGGTTCATATATGGATAATGAATTTTCCTTACGTGGTATATCGATAGTGGCGATAACTTTTAAAAAAATGGTTGTCGTATTAGCAAGATCACGGAATATTGGCCCATCTTCTGGTATTGCTAGAGGAAACTAAAATAAAATTTTGATAAATATAAAAATTATTTTTTATTCTCAATTTTTATGAAATAGTTTGACTCACATAGATCGACTCAAAATAATCAAAATAATCAAGAATTGTACTTATGAACAATGGAATCTACAGTATAACGATAATGGATTGAATGAAAGTTAATATTTATATGATTAATTTTTATGAAATAATTTAACTCACATCAATCCATGGTTCCAAATATTCAATAAATGAGTCTATAAATGGAATCTATAATAAAAAATATCGATGTTAATATGAATAAACGCTTAAAATTTCAATAAATAGAAATTCATATAATTCATAAAATTCATATAGTCGAAGTTCATATTAAAACACTCCACCAAAAGTATATAAAAAAAAGTATCTACATGTCAAAGATATAATAAAGTTATTATTTTAAATGTTACCTCAGAATATGATAACGGAACAATAATTGCAAGCAAAATAACGATTATAGAAATTGATTTGGAACAAGCCAAGTTCATAGTGCATACGTACTTAATATTAGATGTATTAAAAAAAGAAAGGTTATTAAACTTAATAACTTGCACAAACGATAATCGTGAAACCACAAATACCAAATACTTCAAAGAAAAGTGCCACATTCATAAATATAGACAAAAATGTTATAAATACACAATACATATGTACGAGCGTACCACACTGTAATGCCTTGTGACTTAGTTCACAGGCGACCCAATATACAACTAAAAGTCAAGATTTCTAAAGTAATTAATAGTGAATATATTATTTAACACATGAATGTCTTAAATCTTTTCCTCTTTGTGTATAAAATCGTTTCGTATGTCCTTAAATTTTTACTATGGTCAGCTTATTCCAAACCAAGATTATTTTTAGGTGCATTAGGAATAATTAGTTTGTGGATTGCACTTATTAATGTAAACTTATAAATTTTCTTTTGTTCTTTGAGTTGTAAACTCTATATAGATCATGCAAGCAGTTAATATAATGACTAATTAATTTATCATGTAGCAACGATTAACGAAATCACCATTAAATCCATTAGTTTCTGTAACTCAAAATGTAATAGATGAAATGAATGAACTTTTTGTTCCAGGTATGTAAGATCGAATTCTTGATTTCTAATACAGTTATAAATAAAATATTTAAATTATGACGAAAGTAAGATGTTATTATTAGAAATACCAACTATGGTTGAAAATAGCCTAGCATGTCGTTATCTTGCTATAACAATACGAAACATGGATCAAATTGATCCAAACCTTCGAAAGAAAATCTCGGAATCATTAAATTCACTGGATATTCGTGTTAATGAAGCTACTAAAATATATTCCGATTTTCGACATGAGGCCATAGTTTTTTCACGAACTGTTCGTGATAGGATGAATACAATAGAGGAACAATTAGCAAAGGATTGGAAAAGTGAAGCAGCCAGAGAGGTAATACAAAAACATCTTGATGCGATTAAAAAACGTATTCCTATCTTTAAAGCTGCATTGACAAAGGCAATCAAAAAAACATACCAAGTTACTGATACAGCCAAAGAAGCACATTTAGTTTTGGATGACGGAAGAACCAGTGCAATACGACATGATAATTCATTGTATCAGCGACTTTTGCGTTTTATTAGTAGTGAGGAAGAAAAAATTCAAATAAAGGATCAATTAGAAGAGATTGATGAAGGGATTATATTCATCAAAGAATTACAGAATAATTTAGAATTGTTTGATAAAATTATCGATGACCACAGAATAAAAAGTCAGGAAGTTGAAGTACAACTTGAAGAAAATATAAATCATGTAGAAATAGATAAAACTTCATTAAAGGATCTTAAATATAGTATCGAAGACTTGAATATGCCACACCCAAAACTTCCTAGTAATATGAATAAAAATTGTATAAGTTTTAATATAAGGTTTTCTACAGTTGCAAAAAAGTTGACAATGATTCGAATTTGGTCTACAAAACGAACAGTGAATTCTTTAGTTTTTGTTTTCTCGGATGATACAACCCAAATTATTGGCACACCAAATAAAGGACATCTTAAAGATTTCCTATGGGTTGATGGAGAATATATTACAGAGATATCATATGTAATTGGAAAGTACGTTAATGGCATTGAGATTAAAACTAATAGTGGACGTAGCACAGGGTGGCAAGGCTCTCGTAGTGGTCGTAAGGAACGAATTGTTCCAGGGGTTTTCAGTAATTGGTTTTCAAGTTGGCGGGGAATATATGGGACTTTCTCAGATGGAATATGCAGTATAATGCCGCTCTCAGTAAATATTTTTTACATTTTTTGATGGGTGAAAAGAAACGTACTTTATTATCCAGTATTATCCAGGTTAGAGTCACATACATGTGTTAATGGTGAACAATAGCTTAATTGCATAATTAGATACATTGTACAGTAAAATTTTCAAGAAAATAATAATCATGTTAGTTTTTAGGTTAACTTAAACTTGACCCGATCAGTTTAATCAAACTCGAATCAGTATAAATTAACTAATTTAACTCGGTTAATTTAACTGAGTCAAGTTAAATATGTAATATATATTATTTATAACGTCAATATTATTATACAACGTAATAATTATACTACTGTGTAATGAACAAGTTTTGCAGTACGATTAAATCCATTTTGAAATGTATTCATTTAAGATATTCAGTAAAGTAATACTGTACGGCCGGACGGACTTACAAAATTATACTAATTTTTGATCGTATGTACGGTTAATATATACTTGCAACTTCAACTTTCAATTTTTGTAGGTAACACTTAGAATTAGGGTGAGCCTTTTTTCATATTAGAGTTAGTAACAAAAGTAATTTGGA